GATTAACGAAAATAGTTTCGAATCTAATCCTAATCTTAAACCTTTCACCGTAGCCTTTGATTTCTAGATCTTCAGAATAAATAATTATGTGGGTGTTCAAAATTTTAGACTCAAATATTCACTTATATTATATACCGTGCACAAGGCTTGTCAATGGCTCTAAGATGAAAATACCGGTCTATACACTAGTCTACTATTGCTTAAGCATGGTGTAATTACAGCTGAAATTGGACATATAAGTAACAGACCTTATTATTTAAAAATGATTGCAAATATTATATGTACTTATTTTTATTAGTAAGACCCCATGCACTACGTACGATTCCGTATTGTAATCTGTACATGTATGTAAATTAGTTATTTATTTATTAAAATTAATTTTCATTGTTTCCTGTTTTTACTTTTCTTTGAATATTCCATTCATTTGTACAATTTCGTGTCAGTAAATTAGAACATTGCGTAAAATGCATGTCAACTTGAGCACAAAGGTTATAGTGTTATTGATATGTATCTTAAATTATTTTATTTTAATTACGACATCCTCCAAAACTTTCGACAATTGCAATTAAACACATCAAAATCTAATAGTTCAAAAAAAGAGAACGACGTTCTCCAAATCCGCGAAGTTATTTAAAACACGTGACTAGCGAGCCAGTTAAGAATTATAGACCCAATAGAGAAATCTGGGATATGTGTCATTTAGACAGCAACCCAACTACACTAATAAATAAAATACATCCAGAGGGCAACATTCAGTCGTCAACAACAGGACACAAATAAATAAAATACATACAGAAGGCAACATTCAGTTGTCAACAACAGGGTAAGTATCTATACAGGGTAATTATCTATACAGGGTAAATATCTATACAATATGTCAAGCTCTAAATCGTTGTGAGCCTAAAAATAAGTTGGGAATAAAGCAAGCAGAACGTATCATAGATGTGTCATCAACATCAAAATCCCCAAATAACAAAAACGTTTCGATATGACATAAGACAACTATGGACGAGATTCCTGACATTGGACAGGTACATAAATATGTAGCGGGGTTAGACTAGCTTTGATAGATTTTAACCCCCTCCTTTTAATTCTAATCTCGATCACTGGAATAACAAAAGTTAAGAAACATATAAGGCAAAATCAGTACAGGAAAAACTTTTTTTTAAATTCCAACGTATGTCTAATGTCAAAAGGAGAAATAGCAATTTTAAATTGGTGTAAATCTCACAAAAAGGTGAAAAGAGTATAAAAATAATCAAAGAAAAATCATATCCTGCACTCAGAAAAATAGTGGACCCAGGAACAAATCATGTGATTTAAGGTCGATACATGTATTTTGACAAAATATGCCTTTGAGATCAATACCAATACTATGATACCGAAAGTGTATAAGATTACTTATTCGTGGATGACTTTAGATTCTAGATCAAAAGTAAAGGGGGCTCTATAAGGAGCTCATCATACGATACTGGAGAATTCATGCTCTATAGGGAGCTCATCATACGATACTGGATAATTCATGCTCTATAAGAAGCTCATCATACGATACTGGAGAATTCATGCTCTATAAGGAGCTCATCATACGATACTGGAGAATTCATACTCTATAAGGAGCTCATCATACGATACTGGAAATTCATGCTCTTTAAGGAGCTCATCATACGATACTGAAGAATTCATGCTCTATAAGGAGCTCATCATTCGATACTGGAGAATCTATGCTCTATAAGGAGCTCATCATACGATACTGGAGAATTCATGCTCTATAAGGAGCTCATCATACGATACTGGAGAATTTATGCAATATAAGGAGCTCATACGATACTGGAGAATTCATGCTCTATAAGGAGCTCATCATACGATACTGGAGATTTCATGCTCTATAAGAAGCTCATCATACGATACTAGAGAATTCATTTCTGTAACCATATCAATTCATTGTTTTGTTAATTTGTTGGTATTGATTTGCAAGAAAAACTTTCGGACACAAAACCTATCCGCTGGTCTTATATATATAATAATTTATGAAAGAAAACGTGCAAAAATGTAAAATATTGGATTATATAGACAGGAAACGATTACTATGAATTTATCTTTGTATTCATTCGCCATGTAGGTATTGATGTATTGTATGCTTTTAAATCCAAAATATATCTTATACAAATACACCCTTGACGTAAATCTTACATGCATTATATTGTGTTACATAATAACCATACATAACATTGAAGCTGACTTATTTATACAACGAGAAATAATACCAAGAATGATATTGCATTCTTTCAGTTAAATATTATATTATATCTATGTCGGATCTTCCGAAACTGGTTCAGAAAATTGGTACAATAAGGCATCCTTTTTGCTTCAGAAAAGAACGCAAACTTAATGTATTAAAGGACCACTTTTGCGAGAGAGAAAAAAGCAAAATTGATTGTGCGGAATGTATACATACGTAGCCACCACGTTCGGTCAGAATAGCACCCCTTTTGCGATAGAAAAGACAGCAAACTTAGAGCTATAAGGCACCCCTTTTGTGACAGAAATGAACGTACACTAAGTGCAATATAAGGCACCCCTTTTGGGGAAAAATGAAAGCACACTAAGTGCAATAAGACACCCCTTTTGTGACAGAATAAATGCAGAGTTGCTGTTATCATAGCAGAAACAAACTACGATTCGCTCTCCATAGCAAATCATATAAAGCCCACTTGCTATAAACTAAACGATGTTCTGTTACACGATACGGTTATATAATGTTTTAGTTTCAATGCATGCTAAATGATGTTCCACTTATTTCATCGATTAACAAAGGTTTACAATGCATATAATCCTTTTGATCTGTATCATTATAGAGAGAATTAGCTAATACCTTGTTGATTAATTGTTGTTTGCTTTATGTTCAGTGGCAGATATTTAATGCATGACCAGGACAAGAACAAATCAATTGCAAATGCAAAAGGTCCTGTCATGGAATGAAGGGTGGGAAATTTGGACTGCCTCTGGCAAATAAGGGTATATACGACAGGGACAAAATTTAGCCTTTCCACAGACTAGAGATTTTGTGGGGGTTCTTAACGTGTAGAGAGCGTAACATTCTCTCTCTCTCTCTCTCTCTCTACACGAGACATTGGATTTAATGTTCCCATTCCGACCGGACGTGACTGCGTATTTATACATCCCACACAATCAAACGTACTCCCCACTTGGCAAGGGTTTTGCTGCCGGTCAGAAGATAACCAACTGCGACAATATTTCTATTCTCCAGTCACCCTTGAGATGCCCGTCATTTGACAAATGTTTTATACAGTTATTATCATAATGAACTTATGTACCAAGTTCAAATTGATGTGATCACAACTTCATAATAAAATAAGTTAAACCCACACTTTTATTAACTTGATACGGACGGACAGACGCAAAGACCGGAAATATAATGTTCTTATACCGGGCAAAAAATCAATCTGTTTTGAAAAAGGAAAGAAGTTTATTTTTAATCGGTTAAATTCATTAAAAAGACATCCCTAATAAGCATACTTGTCACTCTAGATTATCAATCATTAATCAATGAATATAAAAGACTAATTCTGCAATATGTAAATGTTCCAACGTTATCGTTTTATAAGAAAAATTCCTGCTTTAATTCAATGACTTAGAGTAAATTGAATAATTTTCAGTACAAAAAAATGTAATTTAGACATACAGAAATATCCTAACAGAAGGGATTTGAAATATCTGCGTAAAAGCTAAGGCTTGTCGCAAAGACTAACATGAATAATTCTGTCTAAGAAATTTCAAAAGAAGTCATTAAATAATTGATTAAATCATTAATTTACAAGTGAGAATAACTGTTAGTCGCATTCAACCTGACTGGGAAAAGTAATACATGCAATTAACCCCATGTAAAGAAGAACGCTATGGAAACGACTGTAACATAAAGTTAACAATTCCACTGTAAAAACATAAATAATATATGACCATTGTAAAGACCTGAGATATAGGCTTTTTTCTATAATTCTTTCTTCAGCTCTCTTCTAATACTAATATGCTACCGATTCAAAATAGATCCCCTTGGTTGATTGTTGGTTGTTTAATATCTAATGGCAGGTCACTATACCGAAGATCTTATACGCAACTCAGTATATATCAGCTTTCTTGTCAAATTGGTTAAGGATGTATTGGGTTTCTTAGTTCAACTGTTTGCCTACTATATCTAAAGTGTGTAGTTCTTTACATGATTATATAATCATCATTTTATACTTTTATTTTGTATGTAGTGATACAAAGAAAGGATTTATCTCATTTTTTATGAACTCAAACACGGAATACTAACGTTTGAAACGTAAGACGCCATAGAACAGTAATATAGGAATAACCAAATTATATCAATAATTATTTTTGTTTTAATTGTGTGTTTATTTAGACATTTTGTTATAGTAGATTGACACTCTTCAATCGGTTTGTTGTATACATATTTCCATTCAACATAAAACACTTCTACTCTCAATAGTTAAATATTTAAAACAATTTATTTTTCTATCAACACTCGTTGTCACGAGAAGACAAATGTTCAATATGGGTGTTTAAATATATTTCTTGTCATTTTCAATTTAGTAAAACATTCGGTATATTTTAACGATCGAACCTTACATGTGTAAATAAAAAGTTCTAAGGCATAGTTTGGATCACAGGAACTCTGCAGGATGTTTTCTATTCTATTTCGTTATCCCACTTTTTGCTGTATGCAGTTTTTAAAATAAAATGTAACTGAGCCTCACTTTTTCTCGCAAATCAGATACACAGTGATCAGTACTTATGTTCAAACATTAAATGGTGTAGCTACAGAAAGGCATAAGACGCACACATGCTGTTTGGTTCTCTATTTTCTTATTGTCGTCCGTATAAGATTTTTACAAGCAGTTCGGATATTCTAATTTAATGATTTTTTTTCAAATTGACAACAAGTTAATTGTTCTCACAAGTACTAAAAAAATACTAACCTGTGTATTCAGCCTGGATCATAACCTTTTTCCGGTGTCCATTTTCTTCTGCCCCTGGTGCCATCTTGGATACTGCTCAGGATAATATCGTTTAGCGTTTTTCACCGAAAAATGTATTTACCTATATAATTAACGTATAATCTAAAATCCCAGTAGACAGTTTCACTTATTTTCTCGAAATGTCACATGGAAAAAAAATATTAAATATTTATAACATATTTTGCTTTTAATTACAAACAGTAAATAAGGTTTGAATAAGTAATAATAATTCCTGACAGATTGCACAAGCCCTGTTTCTAAGGACGCGAATTTGAGAACATCATGTATTGAAGTTGATGTAAAGATTCCGTGAATAAGGCACTCTCACTCTAGCGTGGACGACTCATTGTCATGCCACAGAAATCTGAGTGTAAAATACATTACAGATATCACTGTCGATGTATTTAAATACTGAATAAACTGTAAAAGTTGGCAAATGTTTGTATCGGTAATTTCTTAGTCTTTCACCGATCAACAACTGGTATTGATCTCATAAGTAAAAATCCAATTATTTATATTTAAAATTTAAAACTTAACCTCTTTAATTTAAAATACGATTTATATAACTCTTTTCTAAAGTTTTTCAGTTTTTATGTAATTTAAAGTGTCACATGTGAAGAAATAGTTCATTAATTAATACTCAACATGCTCAAAAAAACAAACTAATATGCACAAAAGGCATTGCACTAAAAATGTTCATTTTTATATTAATTATTATTTCATAGATTAAAGCGGTCACAATTTGAAAACTTTAATGAGAAAGTTAATTTTATTTGATACACAAATGAACTGCAAAAATTGTATACCATAATAATATCTAGATGTGACATACATCAACTTTTATGATCATTTAAAAACTCAGCGAGTGGTTTAATCAGAATTGGTCAAGTTTTGAATTTCATTTGTAACTTGACACTGAACTATTTTTACATGCATTCTTATAAATTGACTTTATAGTTCAGCATAATTAATATTGTACTCATTTTTATGGTCGCTATACTTACTTGTAAAACAGAAGTAGACTTACCCATGTCAAATTCATGCTAAATCAAAATTTTTGTACTCTCAGTCACACCATACCAAAAAAATAATTGTCTAGATAAGGGAACGACCATTTGATTTTCAGGAGAAGGCTTTTGAAAATTAATATCCTGGCCTGGTCATTCGGGCTACTCCAACTCAGGGGTACCCAAAGGGTAATCTGTCCACAAGTACATGTGGTCTATGCAAGGTTTATTTTCACCTCTTACCAGGCCAGGATATTAATTTTCAAAAGCCTATACATAAGATAGGATGAAGTTGAATATTCTGCAACAAAAAATGCAGGAAACAATTGTGTACAAAAGGGAAAAAAATAATTTTCGAGCGGCTAAGCTGTGAAAAATCAATAAGCATACATACATATGTAGCAACAGATGAAAACGAACCCCCCTCCCCCTTTAAATCAATTTATATACCGTGCCGAAATCAACATTATTTCCCCCCATTATATATAAAGTATTTAATTCATTTATGGTATAAGTATCGACCAAACGATATGATGAACTCTATTATGTTTAGTTTTTAGTATCACGTTTCATGTAGAAATTTCTTTTGAAATGACTTCCTATTAATCTAAATGTTGGTTAATAGCGGTGACTGAAGTACTACATTTTTCAATCGATGTCAAGACACGCTTGTTTCTAATATTTACTGTGTGTTAAGAGTCTCGTATAGAAGTCTTGCATTTCTATGGGCACCGAAAACAGGAACTTTTCAGAAAAAAGTTATTTTAATTAGCTTTCGCGCAATATAAAAGCTAAAAAAAATTAAACTGTGATCAATGCATTCTTACTATTCGTGAAGAATCTTGTAGAGACTGGATGGCAAGGGTTACTGTAATTCATATTATAACATATTCATTATGGCATGGTATTGGTTGCAAAAATTTGATATTTTTCATTCAAATGCAATATTTTTTATTTAATTGGTATATTTCTTCATTTAAATGCAATATTTTTTTATTTAAATGGTATATTTTTTCATTTAAATGCAATATTTTTCATTCAAATGGTATAATTTGTCATTCAAATGCAATATTTTTTATTCAATTGGTATAACTTGTCATTTTACAAAATACAAAGTTTGTTATTCTAATCAAAACAAACTTAACATAGAAGAAAAAAAAAGCCAGACAAAAAATGACATGGCAAACTAAAGAGACGAAAAGAAAAACAACGGACCACAAAACACATCACAGACCACTACATAACCGAGCAACACGAACCTAAACTAATCAAAAGTCATAAGAAGGAAAAAAAAGCCAGACACTACCACAACAAAATAAAACGATGGAAAGACAGGCAGCAGTCTAATAAACACTACGCAGAAAACTAAAGACTGAGTAACACGAATCTCCAAATATACCACTGGTCACTTTTAAGAAAATCTTTCATTATTGGCGATTGCTTCTGATTGATGAAAAGGGCTCTTCTTCCCATGAATATTTCTTCCTGTTGGTTACTGAATTTTGCATAACATGAGCAACATTGCGGGTTCCACTTCCAGAGAACCTTAGTTCACGCCTAGTTTTTATTTTAGGGGAGACGTTTTCGTTTTGCTTTAGTTTTCTGTGTTATCTTTTGTGGTATTCAATGTCTTTGTCATAAGAAAATGGTTTTATTTCAAATTGTTAACATATAGAGTAGGAGACTTAACATGTTCCGATGTTTTATTTTGGTTATGTCTTATGTATAGATATAGCGAGGAAGATTTACCAATCTGCATGTTTATGCTTCATTATAACGGGTTATGACTCTTCAACGGATTTAAACTGAAGTTAGAGGGGCCTGATGGGTTATTTTTGTTCTTCGTGATCGGCGCATTTTCGCTATCGTGATCCGTTTTTCTACAGATTTTTTATTTATATTTTCGTGATCCGTGATCATGGAAATTTATTTTCTGTGAATCGTGATTGACAAAAAAATCAACTCGTGAATCGTGATGAGACCCCTCCCCCATCAGGCCCCTCAAGTTACACCACTGGTGTCACTAATTGACTTGGGAAAATCCCAAAAACCGTACGTACAACGTCCGTTTTGAACTGCTTATCCTACCAGAGCACATGTTTCGCCAGTTTTAGTTTAGTTTCGTGTTGCTCAGTTATGTAGTGGTCTGATGTTTTTTGTGGTCCGTTGTTTTTCTTCTCGTCTCTTTTGTTTGTCTTGTCATTTTTTGTCTGTCTTTTTTTGTCTTTTTTTTCTTCTATTGTTTTCATTAGAATAACAAACTTTGTATTTTCATTCTCCAAATATTGAGTCATGAATTTTATATGTTGTAGTAATACGATGAACTTAAAACAAAAACGTACAAGAGTTACTTATGAAGATAATATATAAAATCCAGAATCGACCAATCACAAACGTTGTTGCAAATTTGACCTTGTGACGTCAAACAATTTCCCATAATGCAATTATTGTATATAAATAAAAAAAATACTAAACATTGCAAATTAAAGTTAAAACGACAAATATACCAATTGAATAAAAAATATTGTATTAAAATGACAAGTTTTACCAATTGAATAAAAATATTGCATTTGAATGACAAATTATACCATTTAGATAAAAAAAATATTGCATTTAAATGAAGAAATATACCAATTAAATAAAAAATATTGCATTTAAATGTAAAATATCAAATTTGTGCAACCATTACCATGCCATAATTCATTCCAATAAAAAATATGAAAACCTTAAAATTGTTTTTTGAGACTCATGCATATAGAAACTAGTTTTTGGAGAGAAAGAAGTGATTCTGTTTCGAGTTTTTATATGAAATGCATGATAAGAAAAGATGTATGAAAAAGAGAAGATAAACTAACACATAATTAAAAATAGTTATCAGAAATTGATTTATTTAAAATGATATATAGAAAAGAGACATTTAAATGCAGTTTATAGACCGGGTTTAAGGACAACAGCTGTTTTGGGATAAAAGAGGACCAAACTGTAAAACTTCACTCTATAGGCTTGGGCTTTGTAACTATATAGTCAAACAAGAGATATGTTTTACGAGAAACAAGCAGTTTTTGGGGATATGCCGTTTTTAGCGAATGAAATAAAACCAGTTTTTTGCGTGTCGTTGTAAGCTTATAAAATACAATCAAGTGTTGAGCACCATACTAGCTAACTTTACATTGATGAACAGTCATAGCAGGCAGTTAACAAATTGAAACTTTTAAGTTCTAAAACTGTTGCCATTAACCTTTACTTAGTAAAAACAAAACGTCCACATAGGCTTATATCTTTCTTTTTTTTTTATTAATTGTTAAAAATAGAAATTTAATGTCTGTGATTATAATTCTTTAAAATATAGAATAACAAAAACCTTCGACCCAGCCAGAAAGAAACCACAGAATCTACGATACACATAGTACACGTACAACAGGCTAAGAGCGATAACTTGTACAATGTAGGTATTTAGAAGAAGCAGAAATAAAACAAACAAAAAAACAACCCAAACTATTAGTCCAGCCCTGGCCTCAGTGACTTATTTTCATTATTTTTGTGGTTGTCACTGACTGACAACAAAAAAACAAAAATTGAAAATAAGTCACTGAGGCCAGGGCTGGACTACCCAAACTATAACCTTTTTAAGTAGGACAAAGAACATTTCATATATAAAATATCTGTTTAAGGGAGCTGCCATTTGATTTTTATGGGGGGATAGGATGAAAAATTTTGACCTGCATTTTTTTTAGTTGTAATCTCTGTCCTGCCTTTTTATTTTTCACTCTATTCGGTCCTGCATTTTTTTTTTAGTTTTTCCTGACTTTTTTTTACATAAATTGTCATCCCCCCCCCCCCATAAAAATCAAATGGTAGCTCCCTAACTGTATTATTTTTTGCCTTTTTTCTTTTTTCTGAAAGCACACCCGCAAAATCGAACTATAGTGATTCGGTCATTTGTGATGGTTTACTAGTAAGTCATGTAAACGTAGTGCTAAAATGTATGACATCGAATATTTCAGCTAATACATTCCGTTAAACCAATCAACATGAAGCACAAGAAATCATCACCTGAGTTATCATGATCCATTAGTCATCAAAATGAAGAAGATATCAATTCAATTCAATTCTTTTCACCAAATGTTTTACAACATATATGAGTATTATAAGTAATATATAGAAGCTATATTCAGATATTTCAAATTCTAAAATATAAATTAACCGAAGTGATTGCCAATAAGACACTAGACACGAAAAGAACGTCGAGGTACTCCGTTTGTCATTTTTGTAGGTGATCCGCTCATTATAACATCTGATAATTTGAAGTTAAACGCGAAACCCATGATAATACTTGGTTCGTGTACTCAAACATATTAGCCTCAGTTCAATATTAGTTTGAATCTTTATAATGATGTTCAAACA